TAAATTTTTTATTAGTTATTGATGGACGTTTATTCATTTATTTGTTTATATGTGGTGCTGAGAATCAAACCCAGTGCCTCACATATGCTAGGCAAATGTACTAACACTGAGCCACAATCTCAGCCCCTGTCTTGGTGTCTTTTGATGTATCTTCTTCCTGTGCTATAACTTTCTCTCTGTGTCTCTTCCTATCACTTCATTTCTCTTTTATCCTCCTTCCTTTGCACTCTCTGAAGTGTGATCCCAAACAAAATAACTTTTATTTTAGAATAGGTTTTGGTTTTCTCTATTAGGATTTTTTTTTTAATATTTATTTATTTATTTTTTAGTTTTCGGTGGACACAACATCTTTGTTTGTACATGGTGCTGAGGATCGAACCCAGGCCGCACGCATGGCAGGCGAGCGCGCTACCGCTTGAGCCACATCCCCAGCCCCTCTATTAGGATTTTTAAAGTGGATGAATGATGGAGACCTCCAAACTCTTTTTTTCCTCTCTCTTTTTTGGCAGTACTGGGCACGTAGGGGCACTCTGCCACTGAGATACATCCCCAGCCGTTTTTAATTTTTTTTGTTTTGTTTTTTTGAGACAGGGCCTTGCTAATTTGCCAAGGCTGAGTTTAAACTTGTGCTCCTCCTGCCTCAGCCTCGATTGGCTGAGATTATAGGCATGTGCCACCAGTTTCTCTTTTACTTCTGAAGCTCAATATGAAGTTGTTTCCTGTGTGAATCTCAATGGTTTTTCTTGTAGAATCATTTTTCTGGATAGGGGAAAAATATCTTTGATCAGAATAATAGCCCACATATCTTATGATATTCACTTGAGATTTCCCAAATATTTCACGTGTAAGTATGATATTTTCAATGTAAGACTGGAGAAAGCAGGTAGCAGACATGGGGAGAGTCCCTGTATCCTCTCCCCATTATCCTAAATAATGGTATCTAGAATATGGCCTACTCTAAAGGAAAAAAGGGATCAAAAATTACAATCGTGTACCTCAAATGGCAGAAGAATCCCTCCAGAGCCCTCCCAAACTGGGAGCTTTGTACATTCCCTATTCAAAGATTAAGATTCCAAAGTTGGTAAATGAGTCGTCACTTAGCATCTAGTCACCCAGACTTCACTCTTGAAACCCACTCAAGTAGCAAAATGATACAAACTCCTTAAATCCCAATACTATGGCATAAAATAGTTTAAAAATCACCCTAGAGGGCTGGGGCTGTAGCTCAGTGGTAGAGTGCTTGCCTCACTTGTGGAAGGTACTGGGCTCAACCCTCAGCACCAGATAAAAATAAAATAAAGGTATTGGGTCCACCTACAATTTAAAAAAATATTTTAAAAAATCACCCTAGAACAGGAATCAGGAGCCCTATTGTCTTTCTGGAACCTAGTCCCTTCACAGAGTGGCAAATCAGTTCTATACCTTGGTTTCTTCATCTGTAAAAGGAAACTAATAATATGTTCAGCCTACCTCACTGGCTTACTTTGAGAACCAATGGAGATAATATAAATGAAAGTGCCTAGAAAAATTATAAAAGTCTCATATAAATATAAAATGGTGTTAATAATAGCAGCATCAGAGCCCATAAATGCCACCCTACATTTATGTTTGTGAGCAAGCAATTAGGAATAGTGGTTATTAATCCAAAACTATATTGTAAAAAATGATTACTTTCTTGGGGTTGGGGATGTGTCTCAAGTGTAGCACGCTTGCCTAGCATGTGTGAGGCACTGGGTTCGATTCTCAGCACCACATAAAAAAATAATAATAGGGACTGGGGATGTGGCTGAAGCGGTAGCGCGCTCGCCTGGCATGTGTGCGGCCCGGGTTTGATCCTCAGCACCACATACAAAGATCTTGTGTCCGCCAAATACTAAAAAATAAATATTAAAATTCTCTCTCTCTCTCTCTCTCTCTCTCTCTCTCTCTCCCCCTCTTTCTTTAAAAAAATAATAAAATAAAGATATTGTGTCCACCTAAAACTAAAAAATAAATATTAAAAAATGATTACCTTCTCTTTGCTTATCAAATTTGAAAGCAGTGTGGTCAGTCATTAAACACATGACCTTGAAGGCAGAAAGTATTGAGTTCAGATTCCAACTCTGCCACCAGCAATGTGATCTTGGGCAAGTTTATAATTATTGAGGACTGGGTCTTATATCCCTCCTACCCCCGTCTTATATTGTCCTCTCTACATATACCTCCACCCTGCCACATATTGTTAAGAGGAATTAATGAACTAATACAAGCAAAATGTTTGATATAGTGCCTTTCATATAGCAATAAAAATTCTCAGTAAACATTAGGTTTAAAAAGTATCATTCATTGACCCCTTGAAATGTGCCGGACCTAACTTTAGGTACAAAATGCAAAGACAAACTCTGTTTCAAAAAGCTAAGTCTGGTGGGGAAACATACATAGAAATAATAAGCAGCATGTTTGCTACTCAAATGCAAAGACAGATAAGAATATGAATTTACACATTTGCTTAGAAGAGACATAGAAATCTGGAGAAGGAAATATTTGATCCTAGACTGTTTTTATTTTTTAAACTGGGGATTGAGCCCAGTTTTTACCACTGAGCTACTTCCCTAGCCTTTTATTTTTATCTTGAGATAGAGTCTCACTGTTGCTGAAAGCCTTGTAAAGTTGCTAAGGCTGGCCTTAAACTTGTGATCCTCCTACCTCAACCTCTGGAGTCACTGGGATTACAGGTGTGCACCACCACACCCAGCTGATTCAAGACTTTTGAAGAGGGATGGGGATGTAGTTCGGTAGTAGAGGATGTGCTTAGTATGTACAAAATCCTGGATTGGATCTGTAGCACCAAAAAAGAAAAGAAAAACCTTATAACTCTTAAGCTTGTTTTTTTTTTTTTTTTTTTAACTTAGGGCTTGGTGCATTTGATTTGGCTTTATCATTTTCCCACAAGGGTGTGATTACTTGAAAATCCAAGGTTCATGTTTGTACTTGTCGGCTTTATGGTGATTAAACCTAAACATTCTGGTGATTTCATTGGGCATAATGTTGGAAACTGATTTTACTTGCTATTTCTATAGGTGAAGCATCTCCTTTGTTTTTACTTCATAAAGTCCCCTTAAAAAGTGTACAAACAGCTTCTTGTCTTGAGGATAGATTGGTTCCTACCACTTGAAAGTGTTAGCATATTTGGGGCATGTTGCTGATCCCTCCGAGAGAATGCAGGGAGGACTTGTAAACACTTGTCACTCTGAAAAACTGGGGCTGGAGGTGACCAGGATATATGGGTAGGGAATAGAAAGTGGACTGCAGGAGATTTGTTTTTCTGGAGGGAATGGAAAGTTCAGATAGCTATTCTTTGTCCACGTGTAAATTTGAAAATCCAGGAAGACTCATTTGTCAAACATCTTGGTACCAAATTAAAGTATCTTTCAAATTTCACCATGTATATTATATGTGAATGTGGGAGTTACAGATGTTTCCCCAAGTAGATTAAATTTCAGATTTTCTTTGGATTTTCCCCTACTGTATTGTCAGCTAAATTCCTCATTGTAACAACATGTTGGAAAAGTTAAAAGTTGTCTTTGCCCCAAAAGATCACAGCCTAATTAATAACAATAGTACTATTAATAAAGGGAAATTATCTTTTAAACCTATGAAACATTCCCAGATTACTAATTAACTACAAATTTAAACAAAAGCTGTGTTCATGCTCTATATTTCTGTACTAGTAACTGACATGTTAAAAGTAATTTATTGTCATCTAGCAGAAACCGCCTGACACTTTATAGAGGTCACAGAATCGTAAGAATTTAAAGCTGGAAGAGCCTTGAAGAGCTTGTAATCCAGCCTCCTTCTCATTTCATAACTGAGGAAATAGTGGCGCAGAGAGAGGCTGAGCCCAGCTGTTGCAAAACCCTTGAATGGGACTTCGGTGAGCTTTTGCTTGCTGGCGATCTGAAGAGACCCACAGTACTTTTCATTTGTGGTAGGAATGAATTAATTGTATCAGCCCGCCCCCCACCCCCAGCGCTTTTTGTTAAGTGAGGAAGATGCAGACCAAAGTTAAAACTTCTCTCCCTAGAGGAGAGAAGCCAGGGATACTTAAATTATTGTACTGGTCCATGTGATTGGTGCTAAATGAAAATAAGATTGATTCTAATCCATTCAAGTTTAGGGCATCTGGCCCGAGAACACGTTGTCAACAACAAAAGTTACCAAGACTGGACAGTATCTGAACCCAAAGCCAAAACAGAGAAAGGAATTGCGGAATTCTGGGGCAAGATTTAATGAGAGAGGTCTCCACTCTGGAAAAAACTGCAGCAGTTAGGGGATGTGGGAAAGACACCTTTGCCGTGCAAAGGACTCCCTTCTTTAAGATTCCCATTCGAAAGCAAGATTGCCTGATAGATAAGGCAAGGCGGGCGACAGATCACGATCCCAACCGCCCACTCCTTTCTTGCCCCAAAGAGAGTTGCCCACCGCACTGTTGGCGTCGGGCAGTGCGCCTGCCGAGGGCTCGCCCCGCCTTGATGGTAGGGGATCGGGCCCGGGCGCTCGTTCCTGCCTGGCTTTTTCTGCCCTCACCCACCCACCCACCCGCTTTTGCCTGGGTCTGGGGAAGAGAGGAGGTCCGCGGGGGAGGGGGAGGCGTCCGCAGTGACGGAACAGAAGCCCAACAGCCTCGGCGCTTCCCGCCACTGTTCAGCTTGGAGGACACTCGCGCGTTGCTTGTCCAGAGCGCAGGTCCGCGTACTTGGAACCCGTTCGGCCACGCGCACAGCAGCTCGGGTGGGGACAGCTGCTCGCCGCCGCCGCCCACCGCCGGCCGGCCGGGGGAACCCGGGGAACCCTCCCGGCCCAGGGGCGGCGGCGGCGAGACCCCGCCCCGCCCGCGGGCCCGCGCCTATCGCGGCCGCCGCGCTGGTCACGCGGAGAGCCGCGCTGCGGGCTAGGGGCCAGCGCCCGGCGGCTGCCGGAGTCGCGGCGGGCCAAGGCGGGGGCGGAGGGTGGAGGTTAGAAATAGGGACGGGCGGGCCGCTCCAGTCGTCGAGCCGCGCAGAGCCAACCTGAGCCACGCCAAACGGTGCCGAGCGAGGCGGCAGGACCCGAAGCACCCATGCTGCTGACGCTGGCCTGGGGCTCCCTCTTCTTCCCTGGGCTTTTCGCGCTCTGCACCTGGGTGCTGCGCCGCTCGCGGCTGGAATGGACCGACACCGACTACGTGACGATCAGCACCAGGTACGCGGTGCGTCCGGGCTGCCAGTCCAGGGCTTGGGTGCTGCCCTCCCCACCCAGCCGCGCGCGGCTGCAAGGCTCCCGGGCCCGGCGGCGACCGCCCTGCGCTAGACTGAGGGCGGAAAAGGGGGGCGACAGGAAGCGAGGGGGCTCCCTCCCTCACTTCCCTGCTCCTGCCCCTCCGTGTTGCGCCTGCCAGAGTTTCCCGAAGACCCTTTGCGTGAAGAGAGAGGGGACAAGGGCGGAGGACTGCCCACGCGAGTCAGGAGGGAATGTGTGTGCATCTTTTGGAGCCTGCTGCTCACATCTGCCAGTGCTTTGGGGGGGGGGGGTCGCAGGGATCAGCGGCAGCCTTACCATTTTCCTCCGCCCAGGAGAAAGTTGAAGAGTTTGGCTTTATGCTGTCCACAGTACTGGATGGAGCGCGCTTTCTTTCATTTTTCTTCTCTGTCCCACTTTAGGTTGGTTTCTTCAGTGCAGGCTGTGCTGGCCACGGGGTCAGGGATCATCATCATCCGCTCCTGTACCGACGTGATCAGAGACAGGTAACATCTATTCTCCAATGAAAGAAGTACACATAACAGGGTTGGGGAACTTTTTTTCCAGTTTTCAAATTGTAGTGGCTCACAGGCACCAGTTGTTTATCAAAACATGCTGTTAGGTGGATGACTGGTGGGAAATCTCGGGCACCATAATTAGTGCCTTCCCCCTCTCCTTGTTCTTTAAGCATCCCGGGTTTAGGAGAAAAGAAATTGAAGTTTAAACTAAGAAATGCTAGAGAGCAGCAGAGTCTGAGTCTAATTGGAGGTGGCATTGGAGAACAGTATGATTCAAGTTCTTTATAAGTGTGAAAATTATTTAGAAGTAGGAGTATGACTTTTGGTGCTTTTAAATGATCTCGGTGGGTTCTTACTCTGGAGTATGCATTAGCAGAGATAAGTGCAAGTGCAGTTAATAAGGTCCCTCCTATTGACAGGGAAAAAAAATCCACCTCTCCCCCTTTCCCTGCAGATGCTGCTCTTGACTTTCCTTTGGATTTGCTAAAGGTGATGAAGAGGTTTCTGGTGTCTTCAGAATACTGACTTGTATGTCTGTTAGAGCTCAATCTAGAGGCAGTTCAGGAATGTGCATCTATGTGCAGCTTCAGTGAGAGAAATAATAAATTAAGGCCAGAATGGTCTATTTTGTTCAGTATTATTTACATCTGGGCAATGATGGCACTTTTTAAAAGGCCATTGTTTTCCACCTGTGTTTTAGAATCATTGTCACTTTCTCCCAGTTAAGTTGAAAGGGCTGGGAATGTGGATGTGGCTTGGTGGTAAGGTGTTTGCCTAGCATGCAGGAGGCCCTAGGTTAAATCCCCAGAGCCCACACATGCACATGCACGCACACACAGCCAGTTAAATTGAAGAGTGATAGTCAGATATGCAGGGAAAGTTTGACAGCCTTTCCTGATTCTTCTCTGACTATGCCAACTCCTGCCTCTCACCTGTTAAGACAGGAAATGCAAGGGGTGAGTAAGGCATCTCTGTCACCATGACCTGCGATCTTAATTGTGTTTGCTCCTGCTGTGAAGATTTTCATGCTTTTCTTCTTATGCCTCTTTTTAATCAAAACCAGTTATTGGCACTGAATTATAGATGCTAAGAGAAGATGGGGCCAAGTGACCTTCACTGCATATGCTAAAGGCTAACGGCATTTGTTGGGCTTGGTTCAGTTTTTATTTTAAATTAGCATTTTCTGATCRTGCAGCAAGTTCCTTCTTGCCTGCAGTTTATCAAATCAGCTTGAAACCTGCCTCCTCTGCAAAGATTAAACTAACATAAAGGTAGCCTCTAGTTTGAGTTAACTAGTTAACATGAGGAGCAGCGCAGCAAGCAAACACTATGTGTTTCAAGAAAAGCTATTCACACATGATTAACTTATAGTTCTGAAACACCATGGTGGTTCCCCCCTACCCCTGTCAGAATCTGGGTAATTTAGGGGCTTAGGCATATTCAGTAGCAAAAATGAGTTTGGATTTTAGATTCTATATTTTATGTATCTTTATGCCTTAGATTGTTTGCAAAGTAGAGTGACACATTTCTATTCCCTCTATCTCTGCATGGGTGCACAATTTGTGCTAAGGGCACCTAGATCTATCTCTCTCTTTTCCCCCCTCCTTTTGTGGTACTGGACATTAAACCCAGAGACCCTCTACCACTGAACCACACCTCCAGCTCTCTTTATCTTATTTGAGACAGGGTCTTGCTAAGTTGCTAAGACTGACCTTGAGCTTGGGATCCTCTTGCTTGCCTCAGCCTCCTGAGTTTCTAGGATAAACAGGTGTGCATTATCATATCTGGCTTAAATCATCTTTTAAAAAGACCATTGAGGAGGGGCTGGGATTGTGGCTCAGCGGTAGAGCACTCACCTAGCACACGCTAGGTCCTGGGTTCGATCCTCAGCACCACATAAAAATAAATAAATAAATGAAATAAAGGGTTTGTGTCCAACAACTAAAATATAATAAATATATTTAAAAAAAAAAAGACCATTGAGGATTCTTAGACCACACACCCAAATATTTTTCTATTACTTGCTTTCCCAATCTATACTTCATACAGAATGTCTATAGATGGGAGGGAGACTCTATCCATTTCTCAAAATTGTGTACAGAGTATGGTATGAGGCCAAGAATTTCATCAGATTTCTTTTACGGCTCTAGATCCCTACATGGGCTGCCACAGCTTTAGGCAGTTTTCCTCATTGAAGCTCTTATATTTGAATAGTACCTTTTATACTTAAAAATACTTATAGGGCTGGCAGTGTAGCTTAGTAGTAGAGTGCTAGCCTAGCAAGTGTGAGGCCCTGGTTTTTTTGTTTGTTTGTTTGTTTTTGTTTATTTTGGTTCTAGAGATTGAACCCAAGGGAACTTAGCCACTGAGCCACATCCCCAGCCCTTTTTATTTTTTGAGGCAGGGTCTCACTGAGTTGGTTAAGGCCTCACTTAGTTGCTGAGGCTGGCCTTGAACGTGCAATCCTCCTGCCTCAACTTCCCAAGCCACTGGGATTATAGTGTACACCACCACACTGGTGCGGCCCTGGGTTTGATCCTCAGTATGTAAAAAATAAAAGGACTTCCCTAGTTTTCATTTTTTAATCCTCAGAGTGATTGTCAGGAAAGTTAAGACGAGGATTATTGTCTTCATTTTACAAAGAAAAGTCCCAGGCCAGTTGTATTTAAGATTATAGTCTAGCTATCTTGCTAATAAATCTTCAGGGAATTCTACTGGAGAGTCACAATTTTAGATCTTCTTGAATTGGTACTGGGTGCAAAACATTAAAACTCCAGGTTCCATTCAAGGGGAAAGGCCAGTTAAATTTCAGTCAACCTTTTAGTAGTTCTTGTCATCATTTTACTTCTAATTGTTTCAAGAAAGCAACTGAGACCATAAATAGGCAGAATGAGTATTTTGCCTTTTGCCCAAATGGAACCTGGCTAATTAATTCACCTGCAAATGAACTTTATTTTTCATTAGTACTAATTTGCATCTACTCATAGTTTATTGACTAGTTATGCTGTGGTGTGGAGTCATTCAGGAACATTTGAAGTGCATGTGACACCCTCTGTATATTCCCAGGGTTGCAATTCAGTGGACTGACTCCTTAGAAACTCACCTGAGACTAGATTAAAAATACAGATTTGAAGCCCTAGGCATATAATTTAGAAACTCTGGGGAAGTGGGTCCCTTAATAAGCACTACAGGTGATTCTGATGGTCAGGTAGTTTGAAATTCGTTTTCTTCTACCTAACACATGGGTGTTCAATAAAAATTTGCTGAGTGAATCTAATCCTTCCCAGCATAGTATATGAATTCAATTTCAATTTTTTTAAAACACAAAAATTCTGTAGAAGGTTTATTGTTTGGGAACAACATTATATTAACTGCTGAGATTTTTTTCCTTCTAATATACTCTAGAAGTAATAAAACTACCAGTTTGATTTCACAAATATTGACTCAATCCTATTAGACAAACAAATGAGAACACTGGCTTATCCCAGCCCCTATCCTTTTATTTCTGCTGTAATGTGGTCTTTGGGCTCCAAACTCATTTCCAGGCATGCTTTCTTAGCCAGTGAAACTGGGATTAGCTATAGAATTGTAAAGAAAATGGCCAGGATTGCTTCCCAGAAACTCCCTAGACTGGGGTTGCATGCAGATGACAGAGAAACTCATAGGCTTTAAGTTGGAAAACTCCCAACTGTTGAGCAACTGAGGAGTTAAACTGGAAAGATTGGATTTGTGATTTCGAATACCTTCTAAACAGGGTTCTTGTTGGGGCTATTGAATCATTTGTGAATTTTTGTATATTAAAGTCAGCTTTTATCACAAAATGCCAGAAATCCATTATAGATGAGTATCTAAATCAAGCAAATGATGACCGCAGTTACTTGAACACACAAGGCTGAAAGAATTCCTACTTTTTGCTTTTGACACTCATGAATTTGCCCTGTAATTTAGAGAAAGTTGTCCACTCTCATTTATCAGTTTCAACATCTTCATTGTAGTGTTTAGAGTAATAACCTTATTAAGTACAAAGCTGAAGGGAACATGTTTGGGAAGAGATTGGCTCTGAGCCTTCCTAATTGACATCCATAATTATTTCACAGACCATCCATATGTTTTCTTTCAGGCACTGGCTTGCCCGAGAATATGTCTGGTTTTTGATTCCATACATGGTCTATGACTCCTACGCCATGTACCTCTGTGAGTGGTACCGAACCAGAGACCTTGGACACTCCACCACTATTCGAAACTTCCTGAGTCAAAACCGCCTCATGATTACACACCATGCAGTCATTTTGTTTGTCCTTGTGCCAGTCGCACAGGTATGGCCTTAGAGGACAGCAGCCGTGGTCGCTCATTTTCTCCTATTGAACTGGGTATCTTAACCATTACTGGATATTTTGAAAAAAGAGAGGATTGCCTTGTTAAATCTGAAGTGTTTGTGATCTTCCTTACCAACAGAGTCTTTTAGGAGTCTTCCAGCTTTCTGGATTCCTTGGCATTTGTCAAAGGTTCTGTTTTTAGTTAAATACAGTGTAAAAATGATTTAAAATTCAAATATAAAACTAATAATAGTACCAGAGCATACTGTGTGCAGTGTTCTCATGTCACAGAAACAGACTATCAAAGCAAATGGCCTCATAATGGCTATCCAGATCCATCTTTCTATTAAAAATCTATTCAAAAAGGAACAGAAATGGGAATGCATTGAGAAATTCAAAATTTTATTCCAAAAGTGCCTTCCAGGTAGCACACACTTATTTAAGAGTTTACAGCTTGCTAAATATTAGAAACTATTAGCTGTATACCATAAATGAAGAAACAAGGGCTCTGAGTTTACTTATGTCACTCAGTGGTACTGAATGACAGCAGGTATTCTACTGTTAGAATATTCTGAAAAAGAAAGATAAATTACATTAAGTTTTTTTTTCTTTTATTTTTTTGGTACCAGGGATTGAACTCAGAGGTGCTTAACCACTGAGCCACATCTCAGGCCATTTTATTTTTTTGAGATAAGGTCTCACTAAGTTGCGTAGGGCCTCACTGAGTTGCTGGGTCTGACCTTGAACTTGTGATCTTCCTGCCTCAGCCTCCTGAGTCACTGGGATTATAGGTGTGCACCATCACACCTGAGAGCATTACATTCTTTAAGGAGTCTTCTCTTAATTGCTTTGAGACCCCACCATGTAGCACATACTTTGTTGAGATGAACAGGCTCAGTACCCTTGGCACAACTAAGTTAGATACACAAAAGTAGGCTACAGAGTTCTTCCAGGTGTCATTGAATTTGCCTCTGGATCCCAGGGATTGGGCCATCAAAGTGCTATTGCTATGGAAGCAGCAGAATATTAACTGGATCTACACTTGCCTATTTAGCATTTCTTTTCCCTTCATTGTCTCATTGAAAAAATAGCCCTACTTAGAATTTTCCTTCCAGTGGTTTCTTAACTCCCACTACTTATTTCCTTTTTTCCTTTCATCCACAGAGGCTCCGGGGAAACCTTGGGGACTTCTTTGTTGGCTGTATCTTCACAGCAGAACTGAGCACTCCCTTTGTGTCACTGGGCAGAATTCTGATTCAGGCATGTATGAGTGAAATGACAAAAATAGTTCAGGAGGGAACAGACTTTGCTTTTCCTTTGGAGATTGTTGGGTTTGAAGAAATCTGTTAAAGCCAAGTATAGTGGGATAGGATGTCCTTTAACAAACTTAAAAGTCAGTTGGTCATTCAGGCCTATAGAGATGAAATTGTAGATTTGACCAAAGTTTGGGACAGTTCACTATCTGTTTTCCTTGGTCAGATTGTTCTAATCCACTGTTCCCGTGACCCCATTAGCTGGGTGGCTTAGGCCAAATTTAATATCACTATTGAGAAAACTATGAGGCTCTATGTGTGTATTAATACAATAGTGTTCAATAATCTTTTCTGTGTTAAAAAACTAGTTGCATGTGTGGGTGTCAAGGAATTTAACAGTCTGGGTCTTGAATGGTTCATTTACCACTGGGAGACTTGGGCTAGTGGCTCCCTGAGACCTCGCCTCTTGGTTGCCCTTCATTCTGCTTCTCTTTCTTTTTCAGCTAAAGCAGCAGCACACTCTCCTGTACAAGGTAAATGGAATCTTGACGTTGGCCACCTTCTTCTGCTGTCGGATCCTTCTTTTTCCGTTCATGTACTGGTCCTATGGTGAACACCAGGGACTAAGCCTACTCGAGGTGCCATTCAATATCCCTTTTTACTGCAACGTAGCCAATGCCTTCCTCATCGCTCCCCAGCTCTACTGGTTCGCTCTGCTGTGCAAGAAGGCAATCCGGCTCTTTGGTGCCCAAGCCAAAAAGGATAGTTAATTGCTCCCACAAGTCAGGCAGTGAGGGCACCTCATCACACTAGCTGTCTCCTCAATGCAGTATTCCATGGACCAAACTGTGCCCTGGGTGGCCTCTGGCATTTGGGGATTGATAAGCAGACGGATTTGAGATTTTCTAAAAAATATTCCTATTACCTCCTCCTTCTAACCTGCCCTTTTGCAAAAGCACTTTTTTCTTGGTTACAACTATTGGATCTTGTCAGACCTTCATTGGCAGCAAGGTGGCTTTAATTACAAGCCTGAGGATTCTTCCTTGGTTCTTATCTCAAGAGTTCTGGGAAGTCAACTCATGGAATGTGAAGATTGATGGACCAGGTTAATCAGTGCCTGGGCACCCACCTTTCCAACCACTCAGGGCAATATCCACAGTACTGGGCCGGCAGAAGCAAGGGATGACTTGGTTCTTGAAATAATGTATTCTTGCAGTGTTGGCCTGGGAAAATCATCGTGGGTATGTAGTTTTTTATTGTTTACTACGTAGCCCATTACTGTCCTTTGCCTCATGTCTCATTGTGTCAACATGGAATTCTTTTGTTTACTGACTTCCAACCACAAGTTTCACTTGGCAGTGGGTAGGACACAGGGCTGGGAATGTGAAGCACTTAAGTGGGTCTGGAGGCAGTAGAAGTCAGCTGGATGTTTACAGGCTGACTTGGTAGAAAAACCAGGCTCATACTTATGAGCTTGTTGCAAGAAGTCACAAGTACTGTTCCCCTTTTAGCATGACCCCTCATGCACAGCTTTCCCTATATCTGTATGTATAGGATGCTTTCATAAAAACTAGAGGGGCAAAGTGAAATGATCGTCCCAGTAGCTATTTACTAGGTAATTCCATCTGACAGTCCTTTTCCTATAAAGTGGAAACGGACTTCTATACTCCAAACCAAGGAATGTCTCATCCTAGACCATAGAGTACTTTTCCCAGAGCCTCCTAAGAAGCCAGAACCTCTTTCCATTTTGAGTATACTGCCATTTAGCTCCAGAGGCTAGTGAGTAAGAGGGCAGCCAGCCTGGCCAAGGCACGACCTGTAGATCGACCCCTTCACCCCCATTTGCAAATAGGATTCTCTGGTGCCAACACTAATCATTCCTTATCAACTGAGATGGGTTTCACTCTGCTATCATGACTTTTTTCAAGTGGTAGTAAAAATCTAGAATTTTTAAAAGTGCCCTTTAATTCATTGTCCATGAACTTTAAAGGACTGAGTATGTCTCCAATTTTGACTGTTTCAGTCTTGAATAGGTGCCATTTAAAATGTAAAATGCTATGGGTTTTTGTTTTTTTACTATTTTTACTATCAAAATATGTCATCCATATGGTGATTAAATTGCACTAATTTCCCACCTTATTGTCCTTTGTGAAATATATCAATACTGATTTCCTGTAAGAACCGTTCTGTGACCTCACTTGATTGCTGTGTGCTATTGTTCCTGCGATTCATGCTCACATCACTAGCAATGTGTGCTGATGCTTTTAGCCTCCAGGAGGGCTTTGCTCATATTTTTAACATGTTGGTTTTTGGTCCTAAGAATACACTGAAGGTGCCTGAGTCAAGCCCAGTGGTGACATGTAACTTTAGGTCTTTTCTTCTCTACATAGGTGAATCTCAATGCGTTCGGAGTGGAAGCCTGATCTTTGGTCACAAAGCAAAGTTTACTCTAGGTGGGGGAAAGAACCTGATTAAGTGCCCCCTTTTGAATGAGGGTATGGATATGCAGGAGGTGAGGTACATCTACTTTTCTCTCTCATCTCCCCAACCAGTTATTATCATTCTTCAATAATAACTTATAAATCTTACATTCTAAGTTTTATGCTTCTGCACACACTGTTCCCTGATTTCATCCGTCAAAACCAGGACACCACTACTTTAGGCAGAAAGTAATTATACCCAGCCTCTAAGCATATCTCTGCTGTCACCAGACCTGGCCTTAGCATAGTCCCTTCTGAGCATGCTAAATGATGGGAGTTAGGACTCTGACAGATCTCTCGGTAGAACCCATGAGTTTATGGTCAATGATTTATCCCCTTAACACTTAAGTTTTTCTTATTCAGTCCTTTCATTTTTCAAAAGTGCAGGCCTCTTAAGGACACACATCACAGGGCCAATCAGAGGCAGAGGCAGGGCTAGTCTTTCCCAAGTTGCCACCCTTTCTAAGACTTTCAATATAAAAATAATAATAATAATAATAATACACACACTTAGATAAGAGAGACTAGATGAAACTCAAAAGAGAATTTTATTAGTCTGTATGTTATAAATACCTAAGAAACTATTTTCTTTACACTGTTATTGCCATATACCTTTTATCTTGTGTACAATTTCACATAACTATAGTTTGTGTTTCTCAGCTCTACGCCCTCTAGAACTACCATGTTGTGGCCCAGCTTTTTTTCTGACCCACACAAGTCAGAAGTTGCTGATCTTCTGCAGCAGGGTCTGGCGCCGCTCCTTGGGGCTAATGTTCTCAGCAATGGATGATAAGAAGTGCTGTTCATTTACCTTTTGGAGCAAGGAGCTAACAGAGGGGTTGGTCTTGCTCAGTGTTTCATAACAGGTGAGGATTTCCAAGGCTAACACGTAGAGTGGTTCACAGACCTCTTGGTGCAGCATGGCCATGATGTGTAGAACATGACAGAACACCTGGGTATAAACAAACAGGCTTTCCTGGGTCAGGTCCTGGTCTTGTCCTTGAGCCCAAGGACCAACCGACTGTATCAACCTAACTGAGTCCAGAAGGTTGGTCAGACTGCTACAGAGGAGTTTGACCACATGGCTCCAGCCATCTATAGGAAGCCAGTTACGACAGCTCTGGCTGCAGAGAAACTGGAAAGCTCTCAGGAAGAGCACAGAGAGTTGGAGCTCTTGGGCAAAGGGCTTCAGGTTGAGCAGGGGAACAAACTGAATATATTCCAGGCTGTAAGGGACATGTAAGAGCTGTTTCTCCAATAGTCTCCTGGTCAACTGGTAAAGGTACTGCCAATCCTTGGGGCTGCACCAAGGCATGATCTGCACTAAGGCCACCAGAAAGCCCTTGCTGAACAATCTGACCTCCTCAGGATTGCCCACGTCCACCACCAGAAGAGAGAGCATCTGCTCAGAGACACTGCTGGAAATGTAGCAGCATTCCATCCAAGCAAGAAGCCCTGTGCCAGGCCCATACCCTGGGTGGGCCTGGGAGGTCCACTCAGCCTCAGAAAGCTTACAGATCTCAAAAAGTGTGGCTGGCACCTCACACTTGAAGTGGCCCTCAAAGAAGTTTTTCAGTCTCAGGCTTATAGTCCAGTCTAGCTGTTCCATCTTCCTGTGGAGCCAGGACAGGGACTTGATCCAGGTATCTGGGGAGAGGGTCTCAGCATTGGCTAATACAATTTCACAGAGGAGGTCTAGGATATGGATTACCAGATCCTTCCCATCCAAAGAGAGGCACCGTTTCTCTTGGGGGAATTGCCAATATTTGCTGAAGCTATCTAGAAGCTGGCACAAGCTGAAGATGAGGGGGAATGGGGAACAGGTCTGGAGCCAATATTCCTCTAAGCCCATATTTGCTTCTAGGGTTTGGATGAAGATCTTCAGACTGAGGTCCACCTCTTCAACATCCAGCATCAGGAAAGGCAGGACAAATGCCTTCAGTACCTCATCTGGCTCAAGAAGAGCAGCAACTGGAATCCCCTGGGGCTTCACAGGACTCATCAGGCAGCTCAGGAGCTCCAAAAATTGCTTTTCTTCCTTGGGTGTAGAGAACTTTGTCCAGACAGTTTCTTTGAGGCAGGATACCAAAAAAGTGGTGGGTGAATTAGGACCTTGCTCTTCTGTGAACCTAAGGGCAGGGAAGGCAGTGAGAATCTGTGCTAGGAACCTGTGGGTGCCAAGGTTGATCACAGCCATGCTGCACATCTTTTTCACTGTGACTTCTGGGTACAATATTACCAGGCGGGCCACAGAGGCAACAGCTTTAGCCAAGCCCTGTTCAGAGGCACTCTGTGTGAGCTGGTTAAATGTTGTATTTAGGTCTTCCTGAAAACCTTCCAAATAAGCCGACAACCTTTCAGAGAGGCCTTTTCGCCCCCAGCAATGCAGGACACCTGAGAGGACTTTATTTTTGTCTGGTAGAGAGAGGTCTGCATAGCATTCCAGGATCAAGATGATCACCTGTTTGATCTGAGACTGGGGGATGACTCTCTCGGTCATGCTAACTTCCATTACTGTTTCCAACAGCCTTAAAACTAAGTCTGGCTCTTGGAAGAGAGCCCTGTTGTTTACCAGGCAGGCTACCCACTCATCTGAGAAGGCCCACTTCTTCTCAGAAGCAAAAATATAGCACATTTCCATGTGTCGGTCCATCTTCTGCTCAATAATGGCCATGGCAATAGAGGCAGTAATGTCCTCGTCCTTCAACCCTTTTTTGTTCAGTACCTTGCTGGTTTTCCTCAGGAAATCCTTGACGCACTCTGCCAGCTCAGAGACTACCTGCCTCTCCTCCTTAGACAAGCTAGTGGTACCCAGGTAGAGCTTCAAATTCTGGTTGAAGGAAGTCAGACTTTCACATAGCCGGAAGCTATCGTAATTTGTCCCCTGGCTGCTGTTGAGCATGACCTGTAGCTCCTCTCCCCACTCCTGCAGCAGACTGTGCATAAACTCAAACCCCACAAAACTGGTTTCGCTGGGGAGTTTGGCCAGTGAGGTCAGGCTAACGTCCCGCTCGGCCTCCCTTACTTTCTCTGCCAGAGCCTGTTGGTGATATGGATTCTGAGTGTCTGAATTCCACACAGAGATCACTGTGGCCAGTTTGTCCAGATACATGACTGCAGACACTTCCTGGGGGTCATCTTCCATCAGTGCAAACACAGTCAGCATGTCAGCTAAGTTGGCTAATGCATAACACTTCATCCCAAGGGACAGGATTCTGTCTTGAATTTGCTTCAGTCCATTAAGTAACATGGCCAATAGGGGCATGGTCGGACACACATCTGGGTCCGACTTAAACCTCTTTGGAGGATGAGAGAACTCATCTGAAGAAGGTAAGTACTTATGGGCCATTGTCCTAAATTGGGAGAGGAGGGGGTCCTGCTTATTGTCCTTGTGTTTCATCAATTCCCACCAGACATCGAGGAAGAAGGACACATCCCTGGAAGAAGTATCAATAGTCATGTGCTCCAAAAAGCGCTCTAGTTCTGTGCGACAGATGGTGGTGGGCAGGGCCATCAGAAGTTGGATGAAGAGTCCAGAAGCTTCTAAGGACTTGAGCAGCTCAAAAAGGACTGTGTGATTAATAGTAGGAATCATGTTGCCCACTGAGAAGAACACATCTTCCTGCCACCGAATTTCAGTGTCAGAAGGGCTAACAGGACAGGGCTGAAGGACCTTGGCCCAGATGATGATCAGAGCTTTCTTCTTCCAGGCAAAAGGCTGAGAATGTGCTGAGGCAGAAGAGATTTCCCTCAAGGCCTCCACAATGGGTTGTCCAACATGTTCCCAGTCAGACTTTGTCATTTCTGCCAATGCTTTGGGGCGAAAGAGCTGCTCAGCCAGCAAGAAGCCCCCATGCAGGATAGTCATTTCTTCGCAGATATTCAAGGGTCCTGCACAGAAGGACGAAAAATAAGAATGTAAAGTTTTCAAAATAGTAAGCAGAGTTGAGAGAGGCAGCACTTATTAGGCTGGCTGTCATTATCAAGGTTAGAAGGGATAAGGACTTTCAGTGACCTTGGTGGAAGAAGAGGAAAAAGGGATGGTTGTAAAAGCCACTGCAGTCATTAGGGCTTAGTTGAGGAATAAAAAAATGACTTCCAAGCTGCCTACACTGGGAACTGTAAGGATGATGGATACTATAGCAAATAAGGAATAGAGAATGAGAACAGATTTAGAGGGAAGACAAGGTCAGACTTGGTTACTTGGAGTCTAACATGGAACATAAAGGAAGAGAAGTCTTCCAGCAATGGCAATGCAAGGTTGAAGCTCAAGGTGAGTCCGGAAGGTATCTGCCCAGAAGGGCTAACAAAAACCAAAGTAAATGAGATCCCTCAGGAAGAGCATGAAAAGGAAAAGTTGGACCACTGAGGCCAGACCCTCCCACAAAAGGCAGGCCTACAGATTTGGGGAGAAGGGTATAGATAAGAGACAGCAGTGAACTACAGAGGCCACAAAATGTTTATTATAGGTCGTGACAACTTCTCAGTGATGATTCAGACTAAGAAGGCCACAAAGCTTCTGGCACAGAAACAATCAGACAAGCCCAACCTTTCCTCTTTTTTTTCTCACAGCCTTGCCAATAGGTTTCAAACATTCTCCTCCCTTTTAGAGAAACAGTTCAGCCGGAAGCTTTTTCCAGTCAGAGGACAAGTTACTCATGGTCCTAAGAACTTCTGTGGCAGAAACTGGTGGGTAGATGGAAGGGTCAAATACTAGTTTGGACATTCAAATTCGATGTGGCCTAAGAGTTAACTTCTTTGATCTTCCCCTGTACAATACAGTCTTCATGATATAACTGAAGATCAAATGAAAATGTACAAGTTGAGTCCTGGGCATTGGGTTGGTGCTATTTTCTCCTGATCCCATCTCTGAAGGATGGGAGAAGGTATGGGTTAAATAAAATACAGTAAAAATCAGGCTATTGGGAGCCTGAATAACATGCCATAAATGTTGGTCTCCCTTGGCCGGGTGCAGTAATCCCAGTGGCTCAGGAGGCTGAGGCAGGAGGACTGCAAGTTCAAAACCAGCCTCAGCAAAAATGAGGCATAAGCAACTCAGTGAGACTCTCTCTCTAAATAAAATACAAAATACGGCTGCGGATGTGGCTTTGTGTCAAGTGCCCCTGAGTTATACCCCCCCCAAAAATGTTGGGTCTCCCCAAAACCCTTCTGTTGTTGGTAGGACCAGAATCTTATCTCCATTCTTTGCCTTCCCCAACTCAAAAACATGAAAGAACACCAGACACAGTGGCACACACCTGTAATCCCAGAGACTCTGGAGGCTGAGGCAGGAAGATTGAAAGTTCAAGATCAGCCTCAGCAACTTAGTGAGACCTTGTCTCAAAATAGAGAAGATGGGGTGTGTTTCAGTGGTTAAGAAACCCTGGTTTAATCCCCAGTACAAAAAAAAAAAAAAAAAAAAAATGGAAGAATATAGGTCTTTATTGTGTTTTCTTTGGTCTAAAAACTAAATCAGAGTGCAAACACAGCTCACTGGTGTTCTCAACTCCTCTTCCCTTTCCCAGGCCCCAGAGATGCTATTCTTTCCCGAGTCTCTCATGCTCCCGGTAGCACATCTTCCCCATTTTCACAGTCTAGGAGTCAGCATTAAAAATACTGACTCTAGGGCTGGGGTTGTGGCTCAGAGGTGGAACGCTCACCTAGCACATGCGAGGCCCTGGGTTCGATTCTCAGCACAACATAAAAATAAAGATAATGTGTCCAACCAAAAAATAAATATAAAAAAAAAATACTGACTCTAGGGGCTGGGGTTGTAGCTCAGTGGTAGAGCACTTGCCTAGCATGTGTCAGGCACTGGGTTTGATTCTCAGTACCACATATAAATAAAGGTCCATTAACAACTAAAAATACAATTTAAAAAATACTGATTCCAGAAAACTAAAAGCTATCTTGCCCTACCAACAATTTAGGGAAGCACAAAAGCCAAGGATCAGCACTCCTATGCAACTCACTTGTGAAGTCAATCTATTCTGGCTCCTAGTGGGGAGTCAGACTTCTAAAGGTGTCCGAGAGTTACTGTCCTTCTTTCTGGCTCAGGTTGCTCCTTCAGAACCCCAAAATACATTCCCTCATAACTGTAAATTAAATTTTACTGCACTATCATTACAGTTGAGCAGATGCTTGGGCCCCAACACCTGCCTTCCAGACACTAACTCTTGGGAGCAGTTAATAGCTGGGAAAACTCCAAGTACTTTATTACTAACAGGTGACTGGTACTTGTGAATGTCCACTTCTTATGTTTACTAAGTGTTTGTTTACTCTGGCAGGCACTGTGCTTGCTAGTGGTACATGTGTAAGATCTTTAAATCTTCAAAACATCCTTTTGAGGATTACTGTTCCTATTTTAGAGATGGGATCATTGAGACTCAGGCAAAATTTGCTCAGGATGTCACAACCACAGTAGTGGGGCTGAGACAGAAATCACCACAGTTGCACTGCTCCAAACTCTTCCCGCTGCCATTCCACCACTGAAAAGCTGGCTGAGGACAGGGTCCACATTTCTCCACAGCTATGACTGGCACATATTGGGGGTACCTCACATTCCGCCCCTCTCCCGCAAAATACCCTCTTTATCTTCTTAAGAATATAACCGGCGGGGTGGGGAGGTTTGGCAAGGAGCCAAATGATATCTATCTGCTCTGCAAACTCACCACTTTTTCCAGGCCTTGTCTATGAAGACTATCAATTGCTCGCAGGTTCAAAAAGTGCCACCTCAGCGGATGTAACCCCTCCCCACAACTGTTAGCGCTGCTGTGCACAAAGCACGGTACCCAACACTATATACACGTGGTTGCAACGAAAACTCCCCCAAACTCTAGGAAGACAGAGTCTTCATCCCCGCTTTAACGAAGAGGAGACCCGGGGTGGGGACATTTGCTTAAGAACTTAGTCCACGTTCAGTAAATCAGACTATAAGAACACCCATGATTCCCGGGGCCAGGTCACCGGCATTTTCCAAAGCACGTGCACTAACCCCGTCTGTTTTCAGGGGATCCAGCTTCACAGCCGCTCGGGTTTTTCCCATGATAAGAGGGCCAGAACAGAAAAGAGGAGGGCCGCGGAGCCCCAGCTATAGCTCGGCCTCCCGACCCCAGGTCTCCAAGGACACCTCCTGGCCCTCAAACCCTTCCCCAGCCTGAGGTTTTCTTGGTCCGGGCCCGCGCGGGAGTGCGCGGTGGGAAGAGTGTGCAAGGACACCCCTCCCTAGGGGAGCATTGCGGGGCGCCGCCGGGGCTGACCGGGACAGGGTAGCCGGGAACCCACCTAAGTCCATGGCGGCGACACCGGTGGCAGCAAGGGCCGCCCCTCCCCCTCCGAAGGAGCGAGTTCCGCGCCGACGCGACGGCACAATGGGCGGAGCCACAGGCCCCGCCCACGGCCCCAGTTCTACTCCTGCGCCGACCGCCTGCTGTTCCCCGCGCAAGCGCGCTCCTCACCAACCAGCTGGCGGCGCGGAGGCTGTCAAGCGCACAGCTCCCCCTCTCGGCCCCAGGCCTCTTCCCCAGCCAACAGGCCGGTACCATCTGTACAGTCCCCTGGCCCAGTCCTATTTCCTGTGTGCAGGAGGTCTGTTAGTTCCTGGCCCGGCATTCACCCTAAGCCAGGAACCCTGGGTAGCTCCGACACACAGTTCATTCACACTGAATGCCCTTCCTGGGCTGCCCACCAACCAGCACACTCAGGTCACAGAGGCTTCCTCCCCGCAGTGGGTCCCAGGGTCTCATATTCTGAGCCTCACAGACACAAACCCAATCGCCTTCAATGTTCTTCATACCATACTGCTCCTCAGGACAGCAGCACCGCTGCTTAATTTTCCGGGATCATAGACATCCCCCCACCTCGCCCTCTGGTCCTATAGATGGAACACAGGAGCTCTCTACCACTGACCTACATCCCCAGCCCTTTTTATTTTGAGTAGTTCTCCCTAATTTGTCCAGACTGGCCTTGAACATGCAATCCTCCTGCCTGGGCCTCAGGATTACAGGCAAGTGCCACCACATTTGGCTCACAGAGGCCTTTGAAACTTTGATGGGTAGTCCTCCCCAGAAAATGAACTGTGGGCAGATCCAATCCGGTGGACTTCTAGTTTGCAGTCTGTACTTCATAAAAAACACAAATGTCCTCCACATTGTCTCCTTTCCCCACCTCCTCTTCCCAAGATCTAATCATCAGCCTCATGTGTTTACAACTTTCCACCCTCCAGCTTTTAGCACCAGATATCATCTAGAAGGACAGAAGCACCCAGCTTCAGGTACTCTAATATGCAAGTGGAGTTTGAGTTCGCCTGTGCTGCGATCAAGCAGCTGAAACGTCCTGTGAGCGATCAGGATAAACTGCTGATATACAGCTACTACAAACAGGCCACTCAGGGTGACTGCAACATCGCTGCCCCTCCTGACTCAGATGCAAAAGCTAAAGCAAAGTGGGAGGCATGGAACGGGAACAAAGGGATGTCCAAGATGGATGCCATGAGGATCTATATTGACAAAGTGGAAGAGCTGAAGAAAAATGAGGCTGGTTAAGGACACTTGAACAGACAAAAGGAAAATAGTATAACTCCTCTGGTAGGGAATGGGCTTCTTAAAAGACCCTAATGGCTGAAATGTCCTGAAAGGTTAGCTGAGACATCAATAAATTACTGAAACTGCAAGAGAGTGAGTGACTGCTTTAGGAAAAGAGAAACTCAGTGACTGTGACAGTCCTGGGGAGATATCCAAATGTATGAAAGACATCCCTCCTCTAGGTAAATTCAAAGTGGCTTTTTCTGTAGTTTTGAATGCCATTTCCAGTCTTCCTATTCCCACAGCATATGTAGATATTTGGCAGTAGAGAGGATGGAAGAGGATGGAGAATCATGTTGTGAAAATGTCCAAGGTTGGAGGTAAGTGACCATTTTCCACTGATTGGGTCTCTGAGGGGGCTGGGGCCCCACCCTGTATCTTTTCAGGGAATGCCAACTCACCAATAACCTAACACTAGGGAGGAGAAAGGGACTCTGTCTTCCAGAAAGCGAAAGTCAAGTCCAAGCCCTTAGGGGGAAGTCAATGTTTTGAGAGAAGCCAAACTTTTGGAGACACAGTGAAGTAACTGATGTATCACAACACAGCATCTCAGAAACAATGGAACAGATGGTTTCAAAATTCCAGTCTCTGAAAGACTCTTCTAAGGTGTTAGCAATCAAAATTTTCTTGGGACTACGCAGTAGCAAACCTTGGTTCCTGCTTGGGAACCTGTGTAGGACAGTATGTATAGGTATTTATATGTGGGATTTGTTGTAAGCACTCAATATACCCCTTGACCCATGCAAGTGTCAAAGTGTCCAGCCCCAGTGTCTACTCCTTATAAAAAACCATAGAGGCATCAATGCTAACATGTTCCAGTGGCTAGGATATGAAATGCTGAATTCTTAAAGACATTTCAGAGAAACAGGTCTGCTGTGGCATGGCATTTCCCAGTACTTTTCCTTAAAAACTATTGTCGGGGGGCTAGGGATGTAGCTTAATGGAAGACCACTTGCCTCACAAGTACAAAGCCCTGGGTTCATGGTGAAGGGGACAAAAACCCCACAATAACCAAAAAGACATTTTCACAGACAATGATATCAGGTCAGCTCCATGAGGGACCATTTAACAATAGAAGTAACAACCATAAAGACTTAAGAGGACAAAGAAAACCAAGTCTCACCAGTTCTCTTTAAGATATTCTGTTCATATATTTACAAGTTGCTAGGTACATTACTTAAGAATAAAGTATATCCAGTACAGCCCAATGACTAAATAACTATTTTAACTATGAAGTGGGCAAGAACCACACTGTAGAATAGAATGCTGCTCTCTCTTCTTTCAAGGATATTATGAACACATTTTGATGCCTTGAGGACCATGATTCATGTTAAATATGAACAATAGACAAATAATAAAATATCTTGCTCCAAAATATGGGGTAGTTTGGCAGTTACAGGTATGCCATCCTATTTTGTAATTATAGAACCTGAAAAGGTAAAAAGGTGCCATAATTAGGACTACAGGAAGCAACTGTAAGGAAGATTAGGTTTAAAAAGAAAAGATGAAACACAGTATATGTTTCATAGTATACAGTGTGCTAAATTTTGTGGAGGAAAGGGAGAAAATAAGAATATATTTGTATTTGCTTAAATGGTTACCTATAGGGCTGGGATTGTGGCTCAGTGACAGAGCACTTGCCTAACATATATGAGATGCTTGGTTTGATCCTCAGCACCACATAAAAATAAAGGTATTGTGTCCATTTACAACTAAAAAAAAATGGTTATCTATAGGAAGCAGGAGAAATGGGATTGATAGGCAGAGGTAGAAGCAGGATTTGTTGTAGATCTTTTTATATTGTTTTGATGTTTGAACCATGTGATTCTGTTACCTTATAAAGAGGTCTGAGGCAGCCTAGAGTGATGGCTCATGCCTGTAATCCCAGAGGCTTGGGAGGCTGAGGAAGGAAGATCACAGCCAGCCTCAGCAATTTAGGCTCTAAGCAACTTAGCAGAACCCTGTCTCAAAATAAAAAGTGAAAAAGGGCTGGCAATGTGGCTCAGTGATTAAGCACCCTTGGGTTCAATCCCTTGTATTAAAAATAACAAACAGTTGGAGGCGTAGGTACTTATTGATCAGTAAGGCTAGAGTACATTTCCTATTGATTTCCCATATGGTATGCATATGAATTCTTAGACCAAACAGGGATTTTTTATTATTTTTAATGGTACTAGGGATTAAATGGTACTAAGTGTAAGTTCAAGTATGTCTTGAGGTTAAATCCAGAGATTTAGAATGGCTATGCTGCAAGAGTTCTCCTAGGTTAGATGGATTAAATGGTACTAGTCACTGAGCTACACCTCCAGTCCTTTATATTTTTTTGAGTTCTGGTCTCATTAAGTTGCTGAACCTCACTAAATTGCTGAGGCTGGCCTCAAACTCGCAATCCTCTTGTCTCAGCATGAACCATCATGCCCAGCCTTATTAACTGTTACTATGAATTTCAGAGGACAAGTTGAAGGCCTCCTGAAAATTGACTGCCAAACCACAATGGCTCTGTGTGACAGGTTAGATAGGCAGAATGTCACATAAAGGAGGTCTGAACATCCATGGTTTAGTTAGTTCCACCAAGATGGCAGGTAGATTACCTCAACTCTCCATCTAACTTAGGAGAACTCTTGCAGCATAGCCATTCTAAATCTCTGGATCTAACCTCAAGACATAGTTGAACTTAACTTAGTAAGGCTAGACCCCACAACCCGTCAATTAAAAATCAAAGTAACTATTCTGAAAACTCAACTTAAACAAAACAAAACAAAACAAAGCTTTACAACTTCATTTGTTTAAAAGACCAGCTCATACAAAATTGCCTTTCTGAACTAGGAGTAGCTCAGTGGTAGACCACGTACATAGCACATATGAGGTTCTGGGTTTGATTGCCAGCACTATAAAAATAAAAACAAAACAAAAAAGAAAACCCCAGGGGCTGGGGTTGTGGCTCAGTTAGAGCACTCACCTGGCACATGCAAAGCCCTTGGTTTGATCCTTAGCACCACATTAAAATAAATAAATAAAATAAAGGTATAGTGTCCAACTACAACTAAAAATAAATAAATATTAAAAAAAGAAAAACTTATAATACTTTCTCCAGTTCCACAACACTTTTCATTTAACTTATATTCCCTATCTTAGAGGACAATCTTGAATTTCAAAGCAAAACAACAGGACCTTTTTCTAAACAAACATCTATATATGTTTGTACTATGATTTGTTAATCAATTCTATTAGATTATTAATTCCTGATAGTACCCCTTAATAATACTGTTCCCCAAAAAACAAACTACTGTTACCATGTATTAGGCTGTTATAAGGGGGATATATAGGGCTGGGTTTGTGGCTCAGAGGTAGAGCGCTTGCTTACCATGCATGAAGCGCTGGGTTCGATCCTTAGCACCACATAAAAATAAAGATATCCCATCCACCTATAACTAAAAAAAAAATTTAAAAAGGGGGGGGGACATATATATTTGTTATAGTAAATACAGTGGTTTATGTAAATACTGTGACTAAATAAATACATACTAGTTTCTTTACCTACTTAAGGTTGACTTTTTTTTTTTCTTCTTTTTTTGGTACTGGGGATTTAACCCAGGGGTATTTTCATTGAGATTCAATTGTAGCCTTTTGTATTTTTTTGTGACAGGGTATCTTTAAGTTGCTGAAACTTGCCTCAGCTACCCAAGTACCTGGGATTACAGGCTTGCACTACCACATTCAACTTTATCTCGTACAAGATCATTGTAATGTCATGTGTAGCTAATAAAAAAAAAAAAAACTCTCGTATTTTAAAATACTAAAATGTTTTCCTCTTAAGTATCTTTCTATGCATGATAGAAAGCATGGTAGAAATCAATGCTGCTTACCCACCTAGAACATTTGCCTTTAAGAAACTAGCTTCCTTTTATTAATTTCATTGCCTGTCATGTTTTCCTTTGTTGTAATCTTTTTTATTCATTTTAAAATCATTTAACAGCCAGGCATGGTAGTGTGCAGTTACTGGGAAGAGGAATGGAAGAGGAATACAAGTTCAAGGCCAGCCTCATCAATTCAGGGAGACGGGGAGCCTGGGGATGTAGCTCAGTGGTACATCACACCTGGATTCAATTCTCAGTCCAAAAGGAAAAAAAGAAAGAAGTCATTTAGTGTGTATGTTTGACCTTTATCAAGGAATTTGGACATTTTTCCAGAGTCCATCTAGTAATTTTAAGCCTACTATTTTTTTTAAATATTTATCAACTTCTATATCTTTTTTTTTAAAGAGAGAGAGAATTTTTTAATATTAACTTTTTAGTTTTCGGCAGACACAACATCTTTATTTGTATGTAGTGCTGAGGATCGAACTCGGGCCGCACGCATGCCAGGCGAGCGCGCTATCACTTGAGCCACATCCCCAGCCCTAAGCCTACTATTTTTATAGTCATTTTTAAACTAAAAATCATAATTACTTTCTTACCTCAGGAGGGATGATCACAATAAATTAGGAAATGATATTATAGAAAATAAAAAAACAAGATAAATAAATAATTACTATTATATCCACTGAGGAGGATTCCAAGTTTGAGACCAGTCTAAATAACTTAGGGAGACTCTTGTCTCAAAATGATTTGATTCCTAGGTTTGATTCCCAGTACTGCAAAAACAAATACAAGCACCCCCCCCCACCCCAACAAACAAACACACAACAAAATGACTGTACAGAATCAAAGAGAAAACCACCAGATAACATTTTTTTTTCAGGCTGCAGAAACCATTTAATCCATTTGTACATAAAGAAACTAGCACAGAGGGGCACAGGGGCACACTTCTATAATCCCAGCTACTTGGGAGGCTGAGGCAGGAGAATAGGAAGTTTAAGGCCAGCCTGGGAAACTTAGTGAACCCTGTCTCAAAATAAAAACTTTCTTAAAAGGGTTGGGGATGTATCTCAGTGATAGAGCACCCCTGGGTTCCATCCCAGT